CGCCCCCGAATCATTATTCTTGTATGTCATGAGTGGCAATATGTCCGGGCTTGTTGAACCATCTCTCCGGCCAAGTATGAAGCTTTTCTTGTTATCTTTCTGTCATTTCTTGTTGATGAATGATATAATTATATGTGATATTGTGAAAATAAATGGTTAATGTTTTGACTAATGAATTTGCAGGCAGTATGGAAAAAATTGAGCTGGATGAGAAACAAACACGGCTTGAGTCATTCAAGAAGAAGGCCATTAATGCCTCCAACAAGTTCAGGAATTCCCTGACCAAAAGGGGCAGGAGAAACAGCAGAGTGTTTTCCGTTGTGATAATGGAGGACGAGCATGATGCCGAGGAAGTCAAGGCTGTTGATGCCTTCCGCCAGGCCCTTATCCTCGATGAATTGCTCCCTTCAAAACACGATGATTATCATTTGATGTTAAGGTCGCCCTGCCCATTCTCTTTCCCTCGTAAAACTCTATCTTGAAAAGACAATGATGCTGTAAAAAGACATGTACTTCCGATTTTCTCCATTATTTATATATATTCGGTATCCCAAATTCCCATGTCAAATATCTAGTAGGTTTGACGTTCTTGTAATTATGTGTTGAGGATCCTTTTGGGATGAGTTAGACGGTTAAACCAAATTTAACCATATATATTATATGGTGGTGCAGGTTTTTGAAGGCCAGAAAATTTGATGTTGAGAAATCAAAACAAATGTGGTCTGATATGCTCCATTGGAGGAAGGAGTTTGGTGCTGACACAATCATGGAGGTATTATATCTCTTTAATTGAATTAAATAAATAAAAAATTGACACATGCCTCAATAAATAATATAGTTAATTGGGATTGAGAATAAAGCAAGTGTTTCTTACGTACGAACCATGCTTTGTAGGAATTTGATTTCAAGGAGAAGGATGAGGTGCTTAAATACTATCCACAAGGGCACCATGGGGTTGATAAGGATGGAAGGCCTGTGTATATTGAAAGACTAGGCCAAGTTGATGCCACCAAGCTTATGCAAGTTACCACAATGGAGCGTTATATGAAGTATCATGTCCAAGAATTTGAGAGGACCAACAATGATAAAATGCCCGCTTGTTCTATCGCTGCAAAAAGACATATTGACCAGAGCACAACTATTCTCGATGTCCAAGGAGTGGTATGTAATACCAACCGCATATAAGCATTACGATTGAGGTTCCACCAAAGCCCTTAAATGGTGGCTTAACAAGAAACACTATTGTTGATGTTGTTTTCTACTCTATAGTTAACTTCCCTGGATATGGTTTACTGAACTATTAAATTGTATCAGGGGCTAAAAAACTTCACAAAATCGGCTAGGGAACTGATCCAGGCCATTCAAAAGGTCGATGGTGATAACTACCCTGAGGTGCGTATCTGAATTGATTTTGCTCAACTAATGGGTTTTGGTTACATTATTTCTTGATCACTTGGAAGTCATTTTGATACTCTATTTTTCACCGTATAGACATTGTGTCGTATGTATATCATCAATGCTGGTTCTGGATTTAGGCTCTTGTGGAACACAGTCAAGTCTTTCCTTGATCCCAAGACCACTGCTAAGATTAATGTAAGTAAGCTTTGTTCAAAATCATAAAACTTATTGTTCAATTAAATAAACAAAACAATGACTATAATAATTACTCTTTTTTAATTTACTTTTTTAAGGTTCTTGGTAACAAGTACCAGAGCAAGTTGCTTGAAATCATTGGTGCCAGGTAAATAATCTATTTGTTTTTTACTTAATGTTTTTGTGTTAGCGTGCGTTTATGGAATCATGTGACAATGAACCTTAGGTAAAAAATTAGAATCAATACGACTCATGGATTAAAAACATGTTGCAAAATTGTGATTAAGTGTAACTTCTGCTATCACGTAAACTTAAAAAGATTACATTGTCAGATTTGTTAAGTGCGGTCATGATATGATTGTGAATTATTCTTGATTGTGTTCATTCCTCACTGAACTTTTTACTTGAATCACGCACACACATACTTGCTCAAATGAGATTTCCTTATGAGAAATAAGAATCAATACCAGTAGGTTCAAGATCTAAAGACTCGAAATTTCCAAAATACAGAAAAATTGATCAAAATGAGATGACATAATTTTAAATAAATTGAACTTTCTGTCACCGCAAACTGTGCACCGTATTTCCACATTCACACTCCACAAAAAGTACACCTTTTTGCACATTCAAATATCTGCAACTTCATTAAATAAAATAATTTGTCATTTTGAACTTGCAGTGAACTTCCAGAGTTCTTTGGTGGGACCTGCACCTGCGCTGGCAAGGGAGGATGTATGGTCTCGGATAAAGGCCCATGGAATGACCCTGAAATCATGAAGGTCATGATCCTCACTTGAGTATCCCAATATATTACTTGTTATCCACTTCTCCATCTTTTTGTGTTGCTTGCTTTTGTATTGAATGTGTTAGGTTGTGTGTATTCCAGATGGTTCGAAATGGTGATCATAAATGCTCGAACAAGATGGCCATTCCACCTGTTGCTGAAGAGAAAACTATTACAGAGTGTGAGAGTGCCAATGTTAATAAAACTGCTTCTTTCGCATTGGATTCAGCAAAAAAACTCCCATGTGTTCAAGAGGAAGTAAGTTGAAGATTAAAAAAGGCTTTAGGCTGCAAAATATATATTCATTGCTTACTTCAAATGAATGATATACTAATATAATCACATCTTAATCAATCCTAACTATATCACGGTCTTTGCATGGATTTTAGTCTACATATTAATTACTTGTTATGTCCCAATATATCTAAATAGATATTATTCATTCAACCAACTTCCCAATATAAATTAATAGTTACTATTCATTTTTCAATTGAATAAAACTTTTAAATATAGTTTCCATTGTTCTAAAACTCGCTACGCGCTAGTCGGGCGGTTGAGGGGCGCCTAGCGCCTAGGCGGCCGACTAGGCCGATTTTTGGCCGACTAGGGCGATGTTTTGACCGACTAGGCCGACTAGGCCTCTACAGTTAGGTCCGACTAGGGCGCCTAGGCCGATTAGTCGGTCCGCCTAGGCCGATATTTACATTCTATATGTAAAGCGTGCTCATTAAAACTAATTTATGTGTTACTAGACAAGAATTAAATTTAGCCTCAAACATCATAGTTCGCAAAATGAAATTTAGTATGTGGTCAAAGTAGTCTACAAAATTAGTTTTCTGTATAGATTCATGCAAGAAACCTAAAGCTATAAACGCTGTTTCATACGTAGTGGGTGATATGTGGATAAATTCTATATGTGGGATACTTTATATATCAATCTTACTCAAATGGAAACCAATATGCAGGTGAGCCAACCAAATGAGTACACCCCAACTGTGGACAAGAATGTTCATGCAAGTTGGTCCAAGGCAGTAAATACAGTAAAGGGTGACAACTTCAGTGTTGCAAAAGGTAGTCTTCTCATTCCTATATAATGTTTCGGTTTCCCTTTTTCATTCATTCAACTAATAATAAAGGCATATTCTTATGTAATGTCATGCCTACCAAATACAAAAGGATAAAGTTACATATAAAGCCAACCGCCTTGCATTGTTTTTATTATCAATTGCAACCTTGTTATCTACTCTTATCCTTGGTACTTCCATTTACTTTACCACTCATGTTATACCGTCACATACTACCATCAGTAATCAGAACCGCTAATCTAAGGGTAATCCTTGAAGTCAAATAGTCGGGTCTTGGAATTGTACTAGACTACCTAAGTGATTAAATTCTACCTTAGTGTAATTTGACTCGCGTGGATTATGACCCAATTATGAATTATGTATATCATTATTTCAGCAGCAGATTTTTACACAACACATGATGCGTGCAAGTCAGCAGACAAAGGGAGCCAACTGTTCTCAAGCATGATGACATTTGTGATGGGGGTTGTGACGATGGTGCGTATGTCACGCCACATGCCAAGCAAACTCACAGATGCGACATTCTATTCCGGCTCAATGCGTGATGGGATGGTTAAGGTGAGCGAACCTCCTGCTGCTGTCTCTGTCACGGAGTATTTGAGCATGATGAAACGTATGGGCGACTTGGAGGAAAAAGTGATCACTCTAAGCAAGAAACCATCCACCATGCCGCCCGAGAAGGAGGAACAGCTAAGCAATGCTTTGAATCGTGTTGATGCTTTGGAACAACAACTTGCTGCCACCAACAAGGCTCTTGAGGAGGCTCTTAGCCATCAAACTGAGATTCTCGCGTATCTTGAGAAGATGAAAAAGAAAAAGAAGTTCTTTGGCTTCTGAACTCATTAAGAATGCATAAACGTATTGTATTTTGTATGTGTGTAGTAAGCAACCCAATGGTTAGATACCCTCATATTCAAGGAGAAAATTGATGGATGAAATTCACTCCTTGTCTTATTTCAATTATCTTTATGTCCGTTGTTAAGTTCAAAGCTTTATATAAAATGTATACATCATATATGTTAAGTCAAGAATGGTTTTGCTCGAGTAAAGACCGGTACACCAGAGTTACGCTTGGGTTTAAATAATAAAGAATTAAAAAGCAAAAACTTATAGGACGGTCATGGTCTATAATTACACATTCTTACAATTGTGTGTGTTTTGTAAAAGTGCACAAGTACCTTTGATCAGATGAAAATACTTTATTGGACCAGACTATTTTTCTACGTCTACATGTTGAGCATTGTGCAATATTATACCTAGTAAAACAATTTATTATGTAGAAAATTGTTTTATCTATAACATTTTCTGTATGACCTGATTTTCAGCCTAATTCAACCTTGGCCTTTTAAATTTTTTAGCTCACAGCCAAGCTTCAACTTAACTCGTTTCAAGCTTAAGCTCGAGCCTCATCAATCAGAGACAAGTTCACACAACCCATATATAATTCAATAATTGTGTTAAGGAATATTGCAACTTCAAGTCGTCTAACTAGTGTGGTAATAATTCTTGGTATCCATCTTAGAAGTTGGAAGTAAAAGAATTTTTGTTATTTTTGTTAGAGTCGAGTGACGATTTTATCCTAATTACAAATCCAAATCTGGTTTTCGAGCCACCAATAGCTCGACGCCTCGACCCCAACACGTTTAACAAATAAACATGCCAAACTCAAGTCATGGCATGTCGAACTAAGTTAAATTTAAGTCGGTCATTTGTGATTTTTGTATAGCAAGTCTACTTACACCTAGCTTTGTTCTACTTAATTGTTACTCGTATTAAACATTTGTATAAATGATATTTCACTCCTTTATGAAGTGTATAAAAAATGATATTTTATCGTAATTTGACTATATATGAGCCAGTTTCTTGTTCATACAGAATAAATTATCCATGAAGATGCAATAAAAAAACTACAAATATATGTTTCCAGAACACAACAGGTATATGTACCACAATATTCAGTACATTTTGTTTCACATGGTATGGTATGAACTATGATGTAGTCAAAGGTACAATGTTGCCAAATAACTGTATTAAAAAAGTAAAAAATAAAATAAAAAATGAATCTCAATCCAGTGTACAATCGAGGAACATATGAAGCTCCATGAGGGCCACAGGCGAAGACCTTAGAAGCAAAACTTCTTTTTCTGCAAAAAGACGATTGATTAATTAAACCAAATTAAACTGAACTTCAAAGTTCAAAATCAGTTGTAGACGAAAAGCTGGTAAACATATACCCACCCTGTACTTGGCTTCTTCTTGTCTATCAATGTAGGCAAGAAGTTCCTCTTGCCTCATCAAAGCCTCATGTAAAGCCTGTTCAGCGAAAACAAAAAGAGTTAAGGAGACTATTAAATTATGTTGCTTTTGTAGAGCAAGTCCTTATAAACCACCATATACCTTCTTGGTGGCAATCAACTCGGCTTCCAAGGCATCAACTCGGCAAACAGCAGCATTTAGCAATTCCTCTTTCTCATTGGGCATCTCAGATGGTTTTTCTTGAATTGAAATCACTTTCTCTTCTAGTTCCCCCAACTTCTTGAGCACGACAGAGAGAAGTTCAGTTTCTGTATATGCTGGAGCTGGTGAAGGAGGTCGAAACTCTTCCTTAGCAATTGCTGGAGTTTGGTCCTTGGGAGGGGAGGATTCTTCCGGAAGTTTTTTTGTCACACGGAAGGCCACCGTACGGAAAAAAATGAAAATCGTCATAAAGAAAGCCATAAAAGCTCCTAAAAGCCGTGCATAGAGTCCATTTTTGGGGGTCTTTTCAGTACGCAAATTATAATCTCTATGTTTCATATTTGAACCTTTTGAAAAGGGGTTATTAATTGACGTGTCTTGCTTCCAACAAGAATCAACAGTCTTGTCAACCACGGGAGGAACATACTCATCATATCCTGGGAAGTTGTTCATAACTCTTGCATGTTTCTTGGCATGAGGAAGACACTAGGATACAATAAAAAGAAAATGATAAAAAAATCTCACTAGTAAACGAAAAACACTCATCGCGTATTTGCTCAAAATCATGTAAAAGGAGAATACCTCTTCACGAACAGGAGTAAGCTGTGGATGTGAAAAACTCTTCATAGCTTTAGGTGAAACAATATCTTCGGCTTCAGATCCCGACTCGGCTGATGTATCACAGCCTTTTACCTGGTGAGAAGTATTATGCACATAAAAATGATATTCACATAAAAGCTACTACCATTTCCAAAGAAAAAACTCTTATTGACCAATGTACAACCTTTTAATTTTGGTAAGGGACAATTCTCATATATAATTCATCAATTATACTCATAATTTTAAAACTTACTTGTTAATTTAACTAAGTTTATTATATGTAACTTGTCGCTGACTCTTTTTTGGAAAATTACATGAAAACTGGAGTTTGTGTTTTATCAAACATGACTCTTTTTTGGGACAAAAAAAGTGTTTGATAGAGGAGTTTTTTTTTTTGGGAAAAGGGAATTATAATACATGTAGCACCATATATATACACAACAAGAGGATGAAGAGTAAAAGGAGTACCATTGGGAAACGGGGTTTAGCATAAACTACTTTCCCTTCACTGTTTAGAACTTTTACAACCTGCTTGCAACGCCGTGTTTCACCAACCATCTGCAGGCAGCACGTAGAGAGCATGATGTCATTTCATTGTGTTACTGAAAAGCATAAACCAGGAGAGGACAAACAGAAATGTAAGAAGATCAGTGGCATTGAGTTACACCTTCAAAATTGCTGGATTTTTCCACGGCCCTTTATCAGAACGGAGACACCCTCCTTGATCTGAGCATGTACAAGTTCCACCCAGAAATTCAGGCAACTCACTATGTACACAAGAAGATAGAAGTCAGTGTAGTCTTTTTAAATGAAAACTGGAAAACTTAGAGCTCGTTTGGTAAGCTTTACTCTAATCTTATCATTACTGTCATTGTGCTCCATGAATTGGTGGCTAGTGAACAGTAGTGCAAGTCTGCAAGACTCACTTTTTGGTGGAATTTAATACCTCCATACTTTTAGCTTTGGGTTTTACATACTCCCTCCGTCCCAAAATGGTTGGCCAAATTTCCTTTTTTGGCCGTCCCAAAAAGGTTGGCCATTTCCATTTAAAGTAAGGAATATGTGGCTAAAGTTAATTCTCTCTCCTCTGCACAAATTTCAACCATACAGTTTTTACTTTATTAATCCACGTGCAAGTCAATATTGGCCAACCATTTTGGGACGGAGGGAGTATTTTCTTTATTATATGTGTGTGTAAATAATTCTTTCAGATAGTTCAACAGATTCACCCGTTTGAATCACAAATTCAGCAATTTCAGATACTTCATGCTTTACCAAACAGGCTCTTATTGAAAATGAAAGCACGATGTAAGCAATTCACAAGATTCATTCACCTAGCATCTATGATTTCAAGCAACTTGTTTTGATACTTGTTCCCAAGAACCTGTAGAATTGAACTGTTAGAGTAAGAAGGTAAATTCCATTGCACTTCAGAAGAACATCTATGGTTTTTTTAAATGGACATACGTGAATCTTGGAAGTGGTCTTAGGATCTAGAAAGCTCTTCACTGTGTTCCATAGCAATTTGAATCCTGGACCAGCATTGATGATAAACATCTGATGGAGTGTCTGCCAAGACACCAAAGAAAACAAAACACAATTATTATGATTTATTCAGATAATAATAATTAGAGCACCACACATGCTAGCTAGCTAGTCAGGACTAGGAACAGAACATACTTCAGGATAATTATCACCATCAATTTTCTGCAACTGTGTGATGAGATCCCTAGCATTCTTGGTCAAATTTTTGAAACCCTGAAAATGTGGAAATTGGGGTGAGAAAAAAAGTATGATAGTCATATGATTTAGAGAGATGAGAGGAAACTGACCACTCCTTGAACGTCCAAAATAGTTGTGCTAGAGTCTATGTGCTTCTTTGCAGCAATTGTGCAAGCTGGAAACTTGATGGCAAAAGTTTTTTCGAACTCTTTAACGTGGTATTTTACATAACGGTCCAATGTTGTCACTTGCATAAGTTTGTTAGGGTCAACTTTTCCAAGCCTCTCGATATATACAGGTCTTCCCTCTTTGTCAACCCCATGGTAACCATGTGGGTAATAGTTTAAAACCTCATCAATCTCTTCGAACTCAAAGTCCTGATGAAAAATATATTAATGATGGTAAATATTTCATTACATACTTAAACAAAAAAAGGTGGAGATTTCTTCAATTATTGGGATGACAATTACCAGAAGAAGTGTATCAGCACCAAACTCTTTCCTCCACTGGATCATATCAGCCCACATGTTCTTTGCTTTCTCAATGTCAAACTTCCTTGCTTTCAGAAACCTGAAGCAGCAAATATGCATTAGCCATTAAGGATTGCACAACTTTTTCTTTTCTTTTCTCATATTTTACACTCAATTTATTAATATATATTTTTTATTGTGATTTTCAAAAAAAATTAGTGTTTAAGGCTGATAGGAACTTTAAAGAAAACATTCAAGTCAATTCGCGCCTACAACGTCAAGGGCCAATTTTCACCTAGAGACAGACATCAAGGATATATCGTCACCTTTTCCCGATTAATAAAACTAAGTGAAACCATCAAATAACGTTACAATACTCCCAAAAAAGAGTTTGTTGCCTTTAAATAAATCCATTAAAATGAAAACGAGAGGTTTACCTCAACATCATGTAATAGTCATCGTGCTGCTCCATCAACAGTTCATCCAAAATCAAAGATTGTCTAAATGCATCAACAGCTCGAAGCTCTTCGACATCCCGAATATCCTCAATTGAGACAGAGCTGCAGCGCCCATCGTTATTTCTTCTTTTGCTCTTCTTCTTTAGAGAGTGTCTGAATCTTGTCGATGCACTCAGAGCTTTCTTCTTGAGAGAACTAATTCTTGTCTTTCTCTCATCCTCTGAGCACTCAAAATCAGATTTCCTTTCCCGACGCTCATCATTTCCAGACGATCCTTCAAAGCCTGAACAATAACTTACTCTCTTAGATTTGATGATCAATTGTTTTTTTAGAAAACCAGCAATTCTTTTACACGTCAGGATTAAAATTCTGGAACTAGTCATCTTAAATTGACTACTGATATGCTTTATTAATACTGCCAATTCTCTCTTGTTCATCGTATTATCAGCACAGATTGAGTTGGTCCAGAATACTGAACACCAACAAACTGCATATACCTACAGCTTACATATATGGAATAAAAAAAAAAAATTGGGGCAGTATTTTCCTTGAAGATTAAACCAACTAATTTGAAAACCATCACCCTTGGTCCTTAGAATGTTGTTGTAGAAGTTTTGTCAGATCTTTTATGTGTTTTCCTCAACTCCCAGTCGATATCCGGATTATTATTCAATCCTCATTATGATTGCATATATAAAGAAAAATACATCATATATTCATATCAGGAATAACTCAAAACAGGACATGGGAAAGATTAAAAAGATTCCCAGATAAACCACAAACAAAGATTTCTCTGGCCGATCAACTAATTTAAAAAGAACTCATCCCTATTCCCTAAATCCCTACTACACAAAGAAATTTCCAACAAACTCATTTCTCCTATTCAATTCCCCACCAAAAAAAATCTACCTAAAACGAAGACTAGCTACATGAGCTCAAACAACCCTAAGTGTCAGCAAAAAGTAATCATTGATAACATCAGACAACAACGCAATTCTTGTTTCTACATAGATTCAGATCATTTTCGTCTTCAATTTGAAAAAAAAAAGTCAACTTACAAGGCCTTGCGAAGCGATCAAGAGGTCCGGACATGCTCGTCGCCGATCACCCCGCCAAAAACAGAGCGCGTAACCCGCAAAAAAGAAACCCGAAATTGAGAATAGATAATATATCCAAAAGCCCTAGCTTGCAAGGACCTTTAGCTGCAGCAACGAGAAGAAAGCGCGGCCTTGTTTACAAATGCAGATGTTGATCGGACGGCAATAAATATCTCAAACGGTAACGGGTAAAGGATGGCGAATTAATGCTGGGAATAATTTATACTCCACAGTAAGCAAAATGAGAACAATTTGCTTTTTTTCCTGGACAAATACATATACAAAGAAAAAAATAAAAGTCGCATTAAAGCGGCGATGTTGTACCTACGGAAATAGGATGTACCTCCAGCTACAGCGTCGGCAAAGAAGAGGCGAAGAAGAAAACATATCACAGGGGCAGGAATGGGTAGTTTGACTTTTGAATCTGGTTCGTAGAATAATGCTAAATTCATATGGATCGATGATAAATAAACTTGATACGGAGTTTATGGATATAATTAAAATAGTAATGAATAAATGCAGAAAGTGCCACGTACTATGAATCTGCAGCCAAAAATTCCATGAACAGGATCTAATAATTCAACGACGGAAGGGGTGATGATTGAAAAGAGAACCGCTAATGATTACTAGTAGTGTTTTGCCCCGTGTTTCTTTCTATTCGGAGTTGCTTAAAACCCTCCCAAATTGTGCTCCAAAAACATACGGAGTATTGAACCCAGTAACCCACTATTTCCGCCTTATCTTTTCTTGTCCCACTCAATTAGAAGTTGGGCCCATTTTCTATTTGATCCCAAATATGTAATTCATCCGTATTATTTCAATAGGGTTTTCACACAAGGTGCACTATAATTTTATAAGTTTATTAGGTAGGTTGTATTTTATAAACGACAAAAGACGCAAACAAGCCCTAACTATTGACGATTGTCTAATCAAATTCCTGAATCGAGAGGCCTCATGAATATGTCTCTCGATCTATGGAAATAAAGCAATCAGTCTCTTTTTATGTACCGATGTCGGTGACTTCTTACGAGAGTTGTCATCTTATTGGGACCAGCAGGTAAAACAGGATCGAGTTGCTTTATTTCAATAGGTGAAGGGGTATTTGCAAGGCCTTTATGTTAAAGGGTTTAGTTGTAGAATCACTAAAGTGTTGAACTTATTGAAGCGTTTGAACTTATTGAAGGGTTTGAATTGTTGTTAAAGATGTTTTTAATTGGATTGTAACTTCGTGGCCTGATCAGGTCTGATTCAGTCTAGTTTGGTCAGAACTAGTCTTGTCTGGTAGATGTTTGTTTTATGTGCATTTTTAAATAGTCAAAGTTTGAGCAGGTAGGTGTGTTCTAAATTGGTCCGTTCTGATTTGTTTAGTCTGATGTGTTTGATCTGATCTCATCTGATCTGATCTATGATTAAAACCAGTCCTATAAAAAAACATCCTACATTAGCTAATAAATTGTCTAAATCTACTCAAATACGGAGTAATATATTTAAATATATTTATAAATAAAACAAGAAATAAGTGAAACCCGATAAAATACTTTACCAGCTTTAACCATTTCATCAAAAAACTGTTTCAAACTCACATTTTCATTATTAATCACCATAGGGGTGTTTGGAAAATGAAATTTCAACAAAAAAATGATGATTTCACCCTTTTAACATTTTCAATAAGTGAAAATGATGTTTGGTAAATAAATGTTAGGCTCTAGCATTTTTGTACGGAACCGCTGAGATGGAAACGTTGCAAATAAGAGATCTTTTGGTCAACGTTTTGAAATATGACCTTGATGGATAGTCTACCCGGGGGTATCTTATCCGAGGGGTTATTGCGGGAATAACTTAGAGAGAAGTCAGAGCAAAATAGGAGGAGAGAGAGTCGATTTTATTAAATGAACTCGAGATGTGGAGTTGAGATGTAGATTGTGTAGATGATGTCGATTACAAGGAGAAATGGGCTGCTATTTATAGCAGCAATAAATGCGATGAGAGGACACGTGTCAGTAATCCAACGGCCGAAGGGTCACATCAGCCTGGTGGCACCGGCAGTGGTACGTCAACCGCATTGAATGCGGTTGGTGGATGCGACGTGGCATTAAATGCGGTGGTTGGCTGTCTCTAAAAGGAATCTTCGATGATTGAGCTTGTTCAGCCGAAGGCACCTTGTGTAGCCGAGGGCTCCTTGTGTAGCCGAAGGCTTCTTGTGTAGCCGAGGGCTCCTTGTGTAGCCGAGGGCATGAGAATGCCGAAGGCTCACGTCTTTGCCCATTTTCTTCCAGTAGCTTCTTATGCCAGAGAAGGCTATCCTGTGAGTTTTGGCTTCTTCGGCCAAGGAGGCCGAAGGCACCCCAGTGTGTATTCTGGGCTGCTTTGAGGCTTGGGCCGCGGTATTTGGGCCTGAGTTGTTTCCTGAGCTCAATGGACTTGTGTAGGAGAAGTGGGAGTCTATGGGCCGGGGGTTCCTGGGCCATATACTCCATCAGACCTTTTCATACGTACTAAGGGGGTGTTTGGAACTGATTCTGATTCTGCTTCTTTTTTTACAGAAGAAGCAGAATCAGAATCAGTTTTCAGAGCTGGTCACCCCTAGCTTCTAAAAAAATTGATTCTAGGAGTAAATTAGAGCACCAGAATCACTTCTGCACTCTCAGCCAAACACCCCAGCTTCTGATTCTGCTCTTTCAGGGATCAGAATCAGTTTTAAGAATCAGATCCAAACACCTCCTAATTGTTTGAAAGACTTGGCATGGTTCAAGGGCTTACCAAACAATTAAATCACCAAATATTTTCTGGCAAACTGTCAATTTATTTCGCTAGTCAAACCCGCTGACTGAATTCGCTACTATAATTTGCTAACCCGCTAAATGCTAAATACGCCGTGAAGTCTAATCACCCCATTTAGGAGCTATATATGTACATACTTCGTACTCCCTCCGTCCCGTTGGGGATGTTCCCGGTTTGACCTGCACACATATTAATGAAATAAACTTATCAAGGGGTAAATTTTACTGTTTTGACACTGTTTCGACACTGTTTGGCACTGTTTTGATGTAGGATAACTTTCCATTTAGGGAAGGGGGACTTCTTTTTGGGACTGCTAAAAAGGAAAGCGTGGACATCCCAACGGGACGGAGGAAGTATAATTGTAATTTATGAAAAGAAAAAAAAGGATGACACCCCATCTTCGAGAGCCCCCCAACATCGACCGGACGACACGATGAGAGGATGTAAATTGGACTATAATCACAATCTGACAGATAGAGAGTGAGCCTCCGTCCCCGGTACTTGCAGAGGCCTTATGCATTTTTAACATAATAATATCTCATCGCAGTTGTCGGGATTCGAACCCGGGACCTAACTCTCATCATCGCAGTCTAATTTATGAACACTATGAACTATCGTGAAGAGATGAACCTTGCGCAAAAGCTCCTCTGCCCATGCTATGCCGTAAAGTTTTTCAAACGGATCAAACCTAAACAAGATTTTATATTTAAAAAAAAAAAAGCTTCATGATCTCGCATATTGGACTTCAAACACTTGGAGCCTTGGAGGCTGATCATCTTTAATTTTTTTTTATCGAATCATCTTTAAAATTTTAGAACACTATCAATCGCCACTAAATATAAAAAAAAATATCTTGAGGCGATTTCCATTTCATTTGGTTCAAAACGTTATCAAAGTCCATTCAAAGATACGTATTTTCCCCAAAATTATGGTGTAGCCATTTGACTTTTACAATAATCCTGTCAAATATCAAATGGAGGAATCAGCATGGAAATAAATTCTTCGTCTAGATTAAAACTTAGGGAATGATTTCTGAACTATTCATAATGATCCGTTTAATTTTTATCAAAAAAATTCAATCCATCCACGACCCATTTAGGGGTATCATTACCACTCCACGGTCTAACGTCATTAATTCTTTAGCATTTAGGGTTTCAGGGTATATCTTGGGGCTGTTTGGCAATTGGTCGTTGGCGGTTGTTAGTTGGTTGATTGTATTAGTTCATTGATGATAGTAGATTCTATTAAATATTTTGATTAGCCGATAGTATTAGCTGTTTGTAAAATAGTGTTTGGTTAAATAACTATTTACAATTGGTTGATAACTTGTTAAATGACTTTTAAGGACATCGATTATATTTTTGTTTACTAACCAAATGTATATATGTATCATACATTTTAAATTAATTTAAATAGTAAAACTAGTTTAACCATTTTTATTAATCGAGTAAACTAGTTTTAGTAACAGTTACTCGACTCAACTAGTTACAATTACCCGATCCGACCAACAGTTACTCGACTCAACTATTAACTGCTATCTGATCCGACTAGTTACAATTACCCGATCTGCCTAGTTAGAGTTATCCGGACCATCCAGTTACAATTACCCAACTCGTTAAAATTATTTGGTTCAATTGTGACCACTACGAGCCACCACCCAGCCACCACCGCTCACCGCAACGGGCCACCACCGTTGGCCACCACCGACGGCGACCCCGTCATCAATTCGGTGGTCACTGACCCACAACTGTTGCGCGCCTAGTGGCCACCCCAACATGACCGCCGCCACCGTCCTGACCGCCACTGATGGACGCCCCGGCCACTTCCTCCGTGCATCATTACATACCTAACCGCTAGAAGTCTCGATCATAGTCAGCGGTGCGCAAGCACCGCATCAGTCGTCACTTGCCACCCCCTTAAATCTACGGGTAGCTTCACCGCATATCTGAAACCTAGACACTGTAATGAATCCGAATAAGAGGAAGCCACAAATAATCTAGACGAAGGAGAAGGAGAAGAAGAACTCTAGCTAGTAGCCTGATAATTCGATCTCGTCATTTTTGTTGAGGTTGGAGTCGTCATCGATGGAGTCTCATCGGCATAGCTCAATCGCTGGAGGTCGTTGTTGGAAGTGCGGGATACCGTCGTCTCTAATTTTGTGTGAAGTAAGGGGCTATGAGAAATGGAGATCCCTGAGAGATGAATAGCAGGCAGATGACTGTACTCCACTGATGCACCGTAAATTATATGGTACATCCGGTTGTACCATGTGCACGGTACAACATGGTACTTTAGTTTATACTTAATGAGTATATAGTTTAAATGAAACGATTATTGGTATTAAATTATAAAATTAGTACAATAATAATTTTGATGACAATACCAATGATAATATAGTTAAATGATAAGTTGATTTGTAGCATATATATCACATGTGGATCATAATACTCAATTGCACACTTTTAATACTCAATTGTGCTATCAAAACAGTGATTTGATACCAATATTTCTTTAACCGTACAACCGTGTGTACGGTATACGTACTCTTGATGCAAAGAGTAGCAAAATCGGAGTTTGAGGGTATTTCGGATTTTTCTCATCAACTTTGGTCTCATTTTTGTCCAAAATACAAGTATGTTTTATTCTTGTCCAATAGAGACGTGAGACTCTCATTTTTGCCTTTGTTTCAAATGTTTACCATCTCAGCTTAATTATTATAGATATATTGTCACGCCCCGGACCTAACCGGACACGTCAACAACCCGCCGTACAGTACGAATAGTCAACCGCAGTCCAACACATCCATACTATACAAGGCGTCTGGAATATCATTCACACATAGTACATCCATAAACAAACATAATGTAAAATATTCATTCAAGCAGCGGAAACATTTAATACAAGTGTTCGTGCCACATTCTGGCACACATGGGCATACAAGCCCTCAAATGATTATTCAAAAATATAATATCC